TCTTTCTTTCTTTCTTTCTTTCTTTCTTTCTTTCTTTCTTTCTTTCTCTCTCTCTCTCTCTCTTTCTTTCTTCTTTTTTTCTTTCTCTCTTTTTTGCTTTTTATTTTGAAAACAGGGTCTCACTAATACCCAGGCTGCTCTTGAGTTCTTCTGTAGTCGAGGCTAACCTTGAACTCTAGATCTTCCTGTAGCTGGAATTGCAGGCCTCACAAGTCCTGGCCTTATTGTCTTTGATGTCAAGGAGAACACTACAGGAGGAGTTCCTGGTAAAGCATACGGGAGACTTCCACTAGTGCTGTCACCAGCATTGTGTCCTTACAAGAACTGCTAAGGATACTGCTTTTATGTAATTCTGCCAAGTTGACTCAGTTTTGCCCTCAAGCATTCTTGAGAACATCTGACTAAGAACAATAGTGAGCATTGTAAGTTTAATTTACACTAGAAAGATAAATTGTATGCAAATAAATATATGAATAGTAGTTAACAGTAAGAATGAGCTTCTTTATAATGAGTTATTAATCTTTTTATTGATTCATAGGAAGTTTTTATATATTATGGTCACCTAAAATGTGTATGTTAAGAAGATGGAATGACCTTGGGAGTTCACTGAAAGGCTAGTTCTACATAATTGATATTAATTACTTACCAGGGGCTTAACAAGCTGAGCAGTCATTAGAATCCCTTTTGGTTGATGGAGAAGAAACAGGTGAGAAATTTTTATCTGATCAGTGGAAAATTAGATCAGCCCTTCATAAAATTGGAACAAACCTAATAGAATATAAAACTATTCCCAGGGCATTGTGGGAGCTGCAGTGACTGCACTTAAAAAAAAATGAAAAGACAAATGCATATATTTGTGATACACCAAGAAGGGAAGATCATTCTATTTTTAGCTTATCTTCACTTAATATTCAAGTTGTTGGATTTGACAGTCTCATGTCTTTTCATCTCTGCTCCATAATCCCTTTGACAATGTTTTTGAAAAGAACTATTCCCTATTTTTTTATTCATCCTCCCTCCCTCCCTCTCTTCCTTCCTACCTCCCTCTTTCCTTCCTTACTGTTCTCCTTCCTTCCTTCCTTCCTTCCTTCCTTCCTTCCTTCCTTCCTTCCTTCCTTCCTTCCTTCCTTCCTTCCTTCCTTCCTTCCTCTGTTCCTTCCCACCATTCTGTAAAACAGGATCTTATTTTGTGTTTCAGGCTTGCAATCCTCCTACCTCAGCCTCTGGTGTGCTAAGATTACAGTCCTGTGCCAGTATGAGGAGCTCTCTGCATCCTTAACACTCATGCTGGTTCACCCTTTCCATTTGGGTCAAATGTTACAGGAGCTAACATGCTGTGTAGGTGGTGGGAGGGTGGTAAGAGAACAGGGAAGGGGGAGCATCAAGGGGGGGGACATTGTTGCCAGTTTTCCTTTGTAAATTCCCAGGGTTGTCTCCCTCCATAAAAGGCTGGACTAGTTTTTCCCTTAGCCATCCAAAAACAATTGCTGATTCTGTTCTTTCCAGGCATTCTGTGGCATTGCGGTATTATGGTAAACAAAAAGCTTCCGTGCTATTGATGGACAGGGTGTAGATTTTGATAGTGTTGAGTTTCTGCAATGAGCTTCTGGGTAACAACAGTTGCTTTTGAAGGCACATCGTGTCGCATGCCTTCCTCCACTGCAACCTTCTGCCTTCCAGTGAACCTCTCCTTTAGAAATTCTGTCTTCTTCAGGATGGGAGGTGTGAATGAGGGGTTGCAGATGCAACCTAGCTGAATATGTCTCGATTTAGTTGTGTTAACAGCTATAGTTTTGGATACTTTTGTTTACAAAGCATTTGCAGAAACCTGCCCGTGGGATTCTGTACACTCCTCACCCACTCTCTTCTGTTAGCATCATGCTCCACTGAGGTTCACTTATCAGATGAATCTGTATGGGCAAATTCCTGGTACTTACACTGTAGACACCATTTGAATTTTACCAGTTTCTTTGTAAATGTTCCCTTTGTGTCTCATGATCCACTCTGTTGGCACCTTATCTTTAGTTCAGCGTCCTTCAGTGGCTGTATTTTACTCGTGTGATACTGTAGCACAATGGGTTGCAGAAAGAGAGTAATAATAACTCAGGCACAGGGTGCCTTCCAGCATTTGTAACATCCGTATAGCCATTCAGTCTGCTGGAGTGAAAGCTATTGCTGCCCGGAATGTGCTTTTGGTATAGAGCTGTTGGGCAAAGTGGTCTTATGTTTTATGCACATATACAGCATGGCTTTGGCATTTGGCCTATATACGCACTCTATCTGTCTATTTGTCTGTCTGTCTGTCTATCTTCTTCATCATCACTATGTATGTATGTGTGTATATGTGTGTATGTGTTTATCCATTCATCCATTCTTCTATCATCATTCTGTTACCTGAGTATGTGTGGGCGTGCTTAGCCATGTGTCTGCATATAGAGGCCAGGGGTCAACATTAGATGGCTTCTCTCTTTCTTTCTCTCATTGAGCCTGGCCCTTTTCATTTTTGGTAGGTTTGCTGGGCAGGAATCTTCTAGGACCCCCCCTCTTTCTGCCTCCCAGCACTGGTATTACAATGCTCACCTGCATGGTTTTTACAGGGATCCTGGGATCTGAGCCTGAACCCCCATGTCTGCGCATCGAGCACATTACTCACTGGGTCACTCTCCCAGCCCTACTACTACTTATTATTATCACCATTGTTACTATTATTATTTTACATCATAATTTCAGCAAATGAGATTTCACCCAATCCTGAGGACAAGTAGTCACCTGGGGCCCTTGTGTTCTGGCCCCATCAAGCCATCATCTCTAGACATATCTACCATAAACTAAAAAAGCAGACACATAACTCAGTGCAGCTCATATTCAGGCCCACTCATTGGTCCATCTTCACCAAGGTTGGGAGGGATGTCCTACCCTTGACTTTTGGAGAATTTGGCATAAATGTTTTATGATATGTAGAGGATATTTTATAATATGTAGAGGACAGGGGGATTCTCTAGCCTGGGCAGGCAGAAAGACTGATATCGATGCCAGTATCTAAGAATAAAGTGTATGCAAGTTAATGTAATGTTATGAGAGACTTGGATAGATGGTAGTGT